GCCCCTTTCCTCCTATTATTTCCCACCCTCTCCTTGGGGGTCCTCACCCTTTCCTGTGGCTTCAAGGCCACCTGCATGCAGACTCCACAGTCTCTACTTCCAGTTCCAATCTCCCACTTGAGCTTCTGACCCGTGTGTCTTCCTGCCCCCTGGACACTTCCACACAGCTGCCCCACAGGACTCTCAAGTTCAGTATGTCCCACCTGAGCTCGTCATTTAGAGCTATCTCAGCATGGGAAGGCAGTGACAGCACAAACTCTAGCCAGGCAGCCTAGGCTCAAATTCCAGCTCCACCACTTACTAGCCGTGTGACCTCAGGTGAGCTACTTCTCTTTGCTTCAGTTTCCTCATGTAGAAAAATGAAGATAATGGTGATTTTATAGGATTGTTGTGAGAATTAAAATGAGTTTTCTGACACACTCTAAGAGCTAGTATTAGCTGTTACTATTTTCCTCCATTTAAATGTTGTTCTTTCTTTCTTTGCTGTCAACTGGATTTAGTAGAGTTTAATTAGACAGGCAGTAATATCCCTTTGGCTGCGCAAAGCAGAAAGCAAAATATTGACTTTTGCTCACTGCCCCTCTTTTGTTCACATTCACTCTCTCGACAAAGCCTCATCTACACAACTTTTCAATGTGTTAACTGGTCCTCAATACTATGGCCACCTGTTCCCTAGATCACTGCTACCTTAGGCCTGGCTCACTGTGCCAGGCCACACTGAGACCAGAATAATCTTCCTAAAATAAATTCAGCCATTTCTTTTCTCTTCCATGACCCCCATGGTCCTCAGGATAAACTCCTTGCCATGGTCTTTAAGACCTTTCATGACCTGATTCTTGCTTTCATCAGCACCTCAAACTCCTTACGTCTGAAAGCAAACTCTCCCCAGTCCGCAGACCTGTTCTTCCTGGATTTCCTCCCTCAGTGAGTGGGGCCACCTACAGAGACATCCCTGCTCAGCCTACTCACCGTCCTTCAGCCCGGGTGTCAGGTCTGGCCTTCCCCCAGATTATTTCCAGTGCCTTCTAAGTGGCCGCTTTTACATTCCTCTCCCCCTCCCAGCTACTTTCCAAGAGGCTGCCAGAATGCTATCAACTGCTAACCGGGACATCATCATTTTGTTGAAAATCATTCATGACCTTCGGGATAAAATCCAAGCTCTTTAACTTGACTCTCTCCCTGAGCTGGCCTGGCCTCGCTCTCCAGGCTCGTTCCAGCCCCTCCCTCTGCCCAGGCAACCCCTGACTTTCCACACCTCCCCAGGAGCTTCTCCCAGACACCACCCTGCACCTCCAGAGGGGGCTCGGCAACCCTCCCAGGTGCCCACACAACACCCTGTGTCTCTGCTGACTCTGGGGCTCTCCAGCGAGACCACCAGCTTCGCAAGGGCTTCTGCACAGCACCAGGCGAGCAGCAAGTGTTCACTAAAGGCTGCAGAAAGAACGAGTGGAAACTGAGGACACGAGAGGCAACCTGATGTGCTGTGGTCCCACAGCTGAGCAGAGTCACTGGGCACAGCTCTCTTCACTGCCCCAGCCTTCCAAAATGAGCAACATACCTTTAATTTTCACTACCACACTGCCTTGGCAACAGCAAGTATTTCATAACAGGACGACTGTGGGGATTAAAAATATTTAAATAGTTTCTGTCACACGGTGAGCATTCAATGCCTTCCTTTGATAAGTAATCACTGAGTGCCAACTATGTGCCACGCAAGAGTTTAGGCCCTGGGGATATACTGTATCTTCATTAACTCTAAGACACCATCATTTTAAAGACTTACCAGTTATTGTAGGTACAATTAAGAAAGAAAAAAAAAATACTACCATTAAACCAGGACACACTGTGGATTATAAGACACGTCCAGATTTTAAGAGTGCTGAGTTGTGGGAAAATGTGCAACTTAGACTCAATAAAAAGTGGTGACAAACAAAAGAGATAAAGTCCCTGTCCTCAGGTAGCTTCTATTCCAGCGAGAGGGCCAAATAATAAACAGACATTGTCAGGCAGTGGTAAGTGCTGTAACGAAAAACAAAGCAGGGGAAATGGCTACAGAGTAGAGGGGGCTGCTGGGGAAGCCAGGGAAGGCCCTCTGGGGAGATGATGTGCGCAGGGATTCCAATGAAAAGAGGCGTTGTGCGTAAATATTGTTCTGGCAAAGGAAACAGCAAATGCAAAAGACCTCAGACGGAAATGTGCCTGGTAGTTTCAAAGACACACAAGGCAAGTGTGGCTGGAACACAGTGCCAGGCCCTGGGCAGCTAATTTCCTCAAGCCCACTGGTGTTTCCAAGGGGAAAGCAGGTGTCCTTGGTCTAGCTGGGTGTGGGTAGGCTAAGAAAAGCAGTGTAACTCAGCAATCACGCGGGTGGTGGTAGAGTCAGACTGCTTAGATTAGAATCCGTATTCTGCCACTTACAAGCTGTGTAACCTTGGACAAGTTATCTAACTGCTCTGAGCCTTAAGTTTCTCCAGGATATAATAAAAGTATCTGTTTCACAAGTTGGTTATGATGATTAAACGAACAGTTGCAAATCAATACACAAATCATAATTATTATCACTACCTTCTATCTATCCCAAAGCCATTTTAAAAATTATATCAAGGTAAAGAACAAATTAAATTATTTGAGCCTTAAAAGATAAGAATGCTTTTCCAGATTACCAACCGGTAGGATGGCAGCCATATTGGTAGAGAAATAAATTTGTGAACTTGTCTTCTTCAAGGTTATATTTTAAAACAAAAACTTATCTTCCTATATAAATTGATTGCTTTTACAGTATAAATGATGGAATTAAGTTTCTATTCAGCCACTTATAAGACAACTGTAACAAGAAGGAAGCACTGTTAGAGGAATTTTACATCTACCATAGCTTTTAAATTAAATGGCATTACTATGTGCATTAAGTTAATACCAAGATAATTTCCTGAATATAAAGTCCACACACAAGTTCAGGGTTTTTTTCCATGGCTAAAATGATCCTGTGTTGCTGGCAACAGGAGGCAGGTCTGGCTTCTGTTCACTCAGATCACATGTTTTGCGGCTTCTCTAACTCACTCCAAGTCATGATGTACCACGCAGTGAACCTTGCCTATGTATAATGACTTAAAACTTCACGCCACGTCAGCTGTGTGAGTTAAGAGACTTCGTATTCCCGAGAGATTCTCATCTTCCAAGTACTCCTTGAGTAATGAGTCACATTCTCCATCGTAACTTTATGATGGAGATGTGCTCACAAAAAATGAAACTTCAGTTTTTCAGATATTAGTATTTAATGTTATAACAGGTGGAAATCAGGTAAAATGAGAATTCACCAAAATTGTATTGCACATCTACTAACCCCCAGGAACGTGTTAAGACCTGGGAATTCAATAGTGATCTAGATCTACAGTCCTTGCTCTCGAGGATGTATGAGATTTTATCTGAAGTTGTATTTTGAAATGGCAGCTTAAAAACGCTATTTAGTCTTGATGTAATTCACTTGGCAAGGTCTGAGAAAAAAATCGTATTTTCCTCTTTCTTATTCTTTTCCAAGAAATTTTTGAGAAGGGCAAACACGGATAAACAGGCTTCTGAGACAGTTTAAATCCTGATTTAATAGTACTGTGTGACACAAGACGAGGGAAGTTAGAACAAGGTATCTAATCTCGCTGAGTCCCAGTCATCCTCCTGTGCAGAATGTGTAAAAATCACAGGGGCATTAAATGAAAGAATATGTACATAACTGCTTCTCAGTAGAGGACAGCCATTATTATTACCATAATTAAGTTCAATTAACAGTTTTCTTTCACCCCTGCCAGTTATTGAGTCTCTGGTACGAATAAAAAAAATTTAAAATGTTTTACCCAAGACTAAGTGCTTTATATTTAACAACCACATACAATAAGTTGTAGATTTCATTTCCAGACATAGGCCAGGCATTCCAAGGCCCGGCTGTAGTTCAGCTAGAGGTATCTAGTTCGTTGACTATACCTAAGGCATTGGGAAAAGAGGTGGGAGGGGCTTGTTTGGGTTCCTGGAAAAATCCTTACTCTAAGGCTAGGCCAGAAGCAACGCTAGCCACCTCTATTTAGGAAACCCATCTTTTCCCACGAAGCTTTGAGAAGTGCAGACGTGGAGCAGGGGAGTGGCAAGCGAGGACAGGCACAACTAGATCAACAGAACCAGTCCTGGTGATGGAGAAGGTGGAAGCTGGTTGCATAGATCACATTTTCCTGCCTGCCATTTGAGCAAACTTCCGAATCACAGAAATGAAAAGATCCCTAAAAATCACCTACTTAGGTGAACTGCCTAAATTTTTTTGCAAAATTTGGTGTGTTGGCGCATTTTTCTGGATAGAGGGTCTATAGTTCTCACCATATTCTCAAAAGAGTGTACGCCTGAAAAAGAGAGATTCGCTGATACAGTCCAACTTTCTCACATACAAGATGGAGAAACTGAGGCCCAGAGAAAGAAAAGCAGCTGCCTCAAGTCAAACAACGGGGACATCAAAAGCGAGCATTTCAATTTAACTCCAATTCCGGCCTCACATTCATGGCCCTGGCCATAGCCAACACCTCGCTTCTGCGCAGGACTTGAAAGATGCTAGGAGCAGAGGGCTGGAGTCAGAGCCCGGGAGATGTTCAGATTCTAGCATCAAGCCAACCGCTTGGACCGGGTTAGACTGCGATAAAGACTCCAGATCCCGTCCTCACCCCCGGAATTCCGTTGCCTAGGTGACTCCAGGTAGACGGCTAAGCACAAGGAGACCCCGAGGAAGTGGAGGCAGTCGGCGACTGGGAAAAATAACGCCTACTCACTCACCTGACAGAGAGGAGGAAACAGGCACGCCCCAAATGCGAGTCCAGAGCGAACCACGCGGGAGGGAACAGGGAGAGAAAAGAATAACAGGAAATGACGTAAGGCGCACGTGCTCCCGAGAGGGAGGGTACCGGTGTTTGCCAGGCGCTGCTACCGCCCCGCGCCTGCGCAGCCGCCGCCTGTCGCGCAGCCAACTCACTGGGGTGGGAGGAGCATGAGCAGGAGGTGGAGTCCGTGCCGGAGTGACGCAGGCGCAGTGCGACTCCGGAGGCGCGGGCCGACCCCTCCGCGGGTTTGGATCCGGGTCAGTCAGGCGCCGCGATCGGGGAAGAGACGATCTGAACTGACGGGACTGGATCACCGGAGCGCCCCAGCTGCGAGGAGGTGAGTGTCCTGACGTGATGGGGAGGGGCCGCGGCTTCGCATCTCGGCCTCCACGCCCGGCCTGGCCGCGGGCGGCTTCCTCTGGGCTCGCCTGCTTCCAGTCGCGTCGTCTCCCGGCGCCGACTGCCTGGGCCGGGCCTGGGCCTCTCCGCGCCCCCTCATCCACTGCGGCCTGGACCTGCGTGAGCTCCCCTCTCTCCCCTGCCCGCCCTCTAGTCCTCCCGCAGCTCCGGCCCGGTCCCTCTCCTCCGCGGTCTTCCGCCCAGCCGTAGCTTCCCTTTTCGCCTTCCTCGGCCGCCCTTTGCCCCTTCCCGCCCTTTCCCGCTTGCCTCTGAGCCCCATTCTCGTTGGCTGCCTCTTCGGCCTCACTCCTTTCTCCTCCCGCATCCCTTGAGGCTTGGCCCTACTCCAGCCAATCATTCTGGCCGGGGGACTCTCCTGAGGGCGCAGCTTTCCAGTTGGAGACCCCGGGCGGGCAGAGCGCCTGGACAGCTGCCCTCCTGCCGTTGTCCTTACTCTCCGTGTCCCCCCAAGTTTTGACCTTTTCCCCTGATCGTGTTTAACCGCCCCAGGTCCAGATTCTGCGTGAAAAGAATTCTGGTGTTTCGGCTGTAGTATTGCGAATGTGAGTGGGTGTGCAGAGAGAGATGTGAATGTGTTTTTTGTCCTGGAAGCCGATTGTTTCAACCCGGTCTTGTTTACCTCCTCGAGAGTTGCCGGGCCGGGTTTTGTTCCCCAGACTCCGCATTTCCTGCTGGTCTGGGAAAGTTTTGAAATCTTTAACCTTGTGATGACACGCTTACGCGCGGATCCTTCATTTATCGTTCTCAGGTCTTTTAAGGGTCCTGGAAATGTAGACCTAAGCTTGAGGTTCAAGGAGGTCTTGGTTAAAATGGCAAGATGTAAATAAGATTGTGACACATACTATTCATAGAAAGAGAAAACCAGGAATTCGCCCTATTGATGGAGAAACTTAGAAGAATTTACCTTTTTTGAAAGGCTGGGGGAAATCCGAGGCAAAGTTACATTGCCCTTAAAACAATACAAAGTAACTTCTAATAGGCTTTTAAAAGTTCTGTCTCTTTGGGGATTAGTTCAACAAGAATTCACTGCGGTGAAAACGGCAAGAATGTTTCCCACAATTTTGATGTTAATGAGGAAGGACCAACCAATTGTATCTGTTGTGTGGAGTTGTACAGCTCTTGCTTTGAGTTAATGGGAAGCTATGAATACAGAAGAGCATAAGCTTTTTGTAATTACAAACATGGCTCTAATCTAGTACTTAAGGCCATGCCTAAGACTCACCTTTGCTCTGGGTTAAAATAACTGAAAAAAAAGGTGAGTAATCAAAATCCTGTTAGTCCCAAAATGTTTACACGGAACTTCATTTCTAAAGCTTTAATCTGTAGCCAGATTTTTATTTTGGTCTCTTTTGTTTTTTAGATGCTAGATCTTTTAGAATGTTAACTAAGTTTGTATTAACATTTAGAATGGTCACCAGCCATGCTATTAAGTCAGCACTGTATAATTAAAAGTTACATATGCAGGTGCAAAGCTTAGCACAGTGTTATAGTGTCAGCTTCTGGAGGGCAGGAATGAGATTCCAGTCCTTACAGAAATGGAGTTCACAGGCTTCTATCCCTAGGATCTAGTGCTACACTCATGGTAGAAATTCTGTAAACATTTGTGGAAGGAATGAATTTCTACCTATAGAATTCAGCAGTGTATATTTAGATATGATGCTTACTTAGATATTGACTGATTTCTAGAGAGGCCTAAGGAGGATTGAGGATTGTATGGGGTCTGTGGGTTGGGGAAACTGGCTCAGATGATTTTTTAACTCTTTAAGGGCTGAGCATTTGACTAACTGGTCATAAGGTAATTGAGAACCATAAATCAAACTTAGTTTAGTTCTGGCAGCAGTAAGAATTTGTTTAGAACGTGCAGTAGTACTCGTTTAGAGGCTGTGGAGCTTCAAAATATTAGAATAAGTGGTTTTTGCTCACCCCTCCCCCGAGGTATATAGGACATTATTCTGTATTTGAGAAGATCCTGCTCTAAATTGAATTAGAGATTGGTGGAGTATGGAATAGCATGGATAATGTGTCCTCATGTTCAAATACTAGTTAAATAAACCAGCAAAATGTGTGTGGAGAGTGTATTTAAATTTTTTGTGTTAAGTTGAGGTGAAAGCTAGCTGAATTCTTTTGAGACTGTTTTCAGTGTTCTTCAGAGAGCTCTGCCGAAAATGCCTTAACTTCTACATGTAAATAAATAAATGGAGTGAAACATCTTGATTCCTTGTCTCTTTATTTTACAATTATGACACTTTGACCTTTGGAATACTAGAGGTCTCACAATTGCATCAAACCCACCCCTGAGAGATGAGCAGATATGGAATCAGAGAAGACCCAGGGGTCCAAAGAGAGGCACTGCTTCCTCTGAGAGTGCCACGGGGTGGGGAGGGGAGGAGGATGGGCTTGGGGATAATAGCTTAGAAATAAAGAAGTGAATCCTCTGCACAAAAATTATCTTCTATTTTTTGTTTTACTTTTTTGTGTCTTTCTGATTCCCTGTGATATGTTTATGGATATTGGTTTGCTTATTTTTTGTTCAGGATTTGGTACCTACTAATTACCCTGAGTGAGAAAATAATTTGGAGACTAAATTCAAGGGTTTATTAACAGACTTCTTTGTTGTGTTCCTTGTCACATTGGTTAATCCTTCATCCCCCTTTCTTTGTTTAAATAGAAAAATTAGGATGGACGAAATGGAAAACTTTGGTTAAATAAACTAGTTAAGAGATCATTTAAAGGTTCATCTGTAGAACAGTAATTTTTTTTTCTTTACTTTCTACCTCTTTCTTTTGGCTAAAGAAAAATTCTATTCTTTATCTAGTTTGAGTTGCAAGTATAGTTCATTTATTTTCTTTCTTGTTTAATAATTACAGTATTCAAAGCTATGAAAAAAACCAATGAGTCTTATAGGCAGAGTGTTGAAAAATCAATAATCATTGAAATAAGTCTCTAATTCTGCTTTAACAATGGTAACATCTTGTTCTCTAAAACATGTATTCATGAATATTGATACCTGGGTCAGGATTGCTTTAGAGATACGCTATCATGTGTCATGAAGTTATACTTAATTGAAATTGTTAGACTAGCCAAATATTTAGTATCATTCTAAAGAATCAGAGTGCTCTAGTTTGAGCTTTTTCCTTTTATTTCTAATGTAAAAGTCATTTTGTCCATAGGTTTCTAGAGCAGCTGAGGAGATTTTTCCCTGTGTTAGAAAGTATGCTGAAACATAGATTTCAGGTGATCTAGTTTCCAAAACTGTGTAGTAGGATATTGGCATCAGGTATTTGGAGAATTTAAATTCTGTCATAATACATATCCATTTTCTGTATCATTTCATTTCTTAAAACCTATAGTGTCCTAACTATCTACGCTTAAACTTCCTTTTAGAAATAAAAATTTGCTTTTTTTTGCCTTCCAACAGTAATGATATCAATAATATGTATTTTTAACAAAAGCTATGCTTTTGATTGCACCTGTGTTCACTTTGCTTATCTTATTTTTCTTTTTTAGTATTAACTGGAACATCCATAGTAGTGTAAAAACTTTCACAATGAAATCTGAAGCCAAGGATGGAGAGGAGGAGAGTCTACAAACTGCTTTCAAGAAATTAAGAGTGGATGCATCAGGGTAATTAAATGTGTAATATATTATTTAGAGTTATTTATTTACTAATTTTAAGTAGTCCGTTTCCCCGAAGAGTTCTTCCTCTTTTAATATTTCTCATTCTTAGAAGATATAAATGCTGATAGTGTGACATTGTATTAATTTCTGTACAGTCTTGTTTTATTTTAAAAAGAAACTCTTTTCTGTTAAATTTGAAAAATAGCAGCTCATTTGTACTCCCAGGTTGGGTGTTTTGGTTTTCTTTACCTTTAAGGAGGGGTCCCCCCTTCTCTTTATAATCAAAGATTCTTTTTAATCAAAGATTATCGAGCAATGTCCCATTAGGGATTTCCTCATACATCTCAAGGGAATGACAGTATTTTTCACTAAAAGTGAATTGGCTCGGTAGAAATCTGTGAAGACATTGTCGATTTCATGGTCTGTGATTGCTGAGTCTATCACTATGGAAACCTATTCAGTAGGGTTCTGTCACTGAGATCAATAACCTTGGATCCTTTGGTCAAACTAATTAGAGCACCTGCAGACCAGCTGCTGTCTGAATGTTAATATTTTACTGTTTGCAAAATGTTCTGTACAAGTCTTCTCACCCCAATTCTTTGCCCCAGGCCAAAAGAAATCTCAAAATTTTAATGGATATAACAGTTTTTTTTTTCATGAATGGAAACCAAACACTGGAGGTGTAGAGTAGAACATTCCACAAGTAATATTAATAATTGCTAATGTTTATTGCTCACATGCTATACCCTCAACACTGGATTAAGTACTTTGTGCACGTTATTTAATCTTCCAGCCACCTTAGAAGATAGATAATACTGTCATTTCTGTTTATAGATTAAGGCACAAATTAAGTCACTTACTAAAGGTCAAATTGGTAGGAAGTTGCAGACCCAGCATATTTGAAACTAGATAATTTCTCTCCAGAACCTGTGCTCTTATCCATTCCTTTATATGGTACCGTGAAGACAATATGCAGTACCTAGCAAAAAGTAAAAATTAAATAGATGTTGTTACAGCTGTCTGCCTATTCCTAGAATTATTTTTGGCCTACCAAATGGGAAGATTTATGCCCATAGATTTGCACAGACGTTACAGGTGCTTACATTTGCTTCTGTGATACTCCAAAAAAGTACTTTTCTTCCCAATGGTTCTCCAACATGGTCATCTTGCCATTTCATATCAGGACTTTGATAAGCCATTTTGGGAAACAGAAACAAAGCACAGAATCAGTTCCAGACTGTAGTCATAGTGTATTTATTCCTTTGTGATTTCTTGTATAGAAATAATTTTTTTAAAATCAAGAGAATACTAGAAATGTATACACACACGTATACATACAAATCTCTCAGTGTGTAAACTTATGTAAGTAACTCTTGATACACAGACTTCTTTCCTGATGTTTTAAAAAGTTAAAATGTAAAATTAAGCCATTTTGGTGTCCCTAAAAACTACTTGGAACATAAAAAAATCTTTCAAAGTATCTGTACAATATATGGTCAAAAATTATATATTTGTAGCTGTGATCTATCTTGAGTAAAATTATGGGAAGAGAAGGAACTGTAGAGAACATTTGAGAAAACCAAATAAGAGTACAAGGGGTGAGTCATTAGCATGACTAAGCAGAATAAGACTTGAGTAGTGTAGCATACATTTCTAGTTGTTTCATATTGCTGCCAGTTTAAAAATGGGACCTCTGAGGGACTGACTCATAAACTAACCAAGCTTTGTCAGGAATTTAGCATGATCCTGTTCAACAGGTTTTTGATTTCTAATGGTATTTATCTTATCAGGACAAATCTCTATATATTTATTATGAAGCAACAATCCTTTTTATCTGACTATAAAATAATACATGCTTATTGTAGAAAACTTTCTAAAAGCAAAAAAAGATAAGAAAGAATTACAGTTTACCATAACTTCTATTAACATCTAGACCATCTGTACCTGATACCCTATACTTTTTTTTACATAGTTGATATCATAATATATGTGCAGATATTTATCTATGCTGTTTTCTTCTAATAGTATTTAATATAAGCATTCTCTCATATCATTAAAAGTTCTCTGTATATTTAATTTTTAATAAATTCCTAATATTCCATTGTATAGATGTGCCATAATTTATATAATACAGTATTTTTCTATTGTTGGATATTTAGGTTATTCCCAGTTACTTTTTATTTTGTGTTTCAGTGAGCATCTTTTTACTAAACTAGATTTAATGTCTCTTTCTAAAGGATTTTGTCAATACCATGGCATGTATAGTAGGTGTCCTGTGTATGTATTGAAAATGTCTGGAAGGATTTACGCCAAAATGTTAAATGTTGACAGTCTCTGGGTTGTGAGATTGTAAATGATTCTTTTTCTCTCTTTTAAATTTTTTTGTGTTTTTTACTGGGAATCCATATTACCTGTGTAATTTTAAACCACAAAGATTTAACTCAGTAATATTTCATGTTTATTAGTTGTAAAAATTAGAATGTTTCTAAAAGTTGTATAATAATTGAAAATGTATTCATTTTTAAGTTAGATTGAGTCTCCTAAAGCTTCTATACTTAGTTGTCAGGGCTCTAGTTTGCCTATGTAAAATAAGCAGTCAGTGTTAGCATTCTCTCTGGACATAAGGCCTGATCTGCCCCAGAGAAACAGCCTAAAAGTCTATTTATATCCTGCTGCTAGTTATACTTACAGATCATTCTTTGGCTTATGCTTTTGCAGCCATGGGCTTTTAGGGATCCTTCAAATTTGGTTTTGGAGGAAAATTTACACTAAATGCTGAGCAATTTTTGAGAAGTCCAAACTAGAGAGAAAATTAAGGCATCGATAATAGTTTTATTTGTGTTGGTGAGAGCAATAAGTTCTCCTCTTTTTATAATTTTCTATGTTAATAAACTTTCTTCTTGTCTTCAGGTCCATAGCATCTCTGTCGGTTGGAGAAGGCACAAGTGTCAGAGCATCAGTCAGAACAGCAGCAGATGATACCAAACCTAAAACCACATGTGCACCTAAAGACAGTTGGCATGGGTAAGAGCTTTTTATTGAGATGATTTTTATCCCAATACTTTAAATTATTATTGAATTTTCTTTCCTGAATATCCAGGAAAGATAGAGACCCAGGAAAGAATAGGTTTTGATGTAAAACCCAAGACCCAACTATCAAGAGAAGGACCCATTCTTCTCAGATGTGAATTTACTGAGACTTTCTGTTTGGCCTGGTCCATAGTCAGTTTTTATATATTTTCTACATGTGTTTGAGAAGAATGGGTTCTTGGTTTCTGTGGTCCATTAAATCAGGCTTTGAAATGTGTTATTTGAATCTTTTTTTCAATTTTTTTGTCAGCTTGACCTGTCAATAATTGAGATGGCGAAAGCTCCCCCATGGGAGTGAATTTTTGTGTTTTATGTTTTTT